TTTAATATAATAGTAAAGGTTTGTGGTGAGGCTACTGCAGGGAATGTAAATCTATTTTCAGAAGCCCTCAAGCATCTAAATATACAGGAATAGAAACATATTCAGTACTTAGGATTAGGGAGACACTGACCTATTTTCAGAAATTAAAAATTTGAATCTTTTAAGTAAGTTATCTGGGATTTCTCATGTGGTGTTTGTTGTAGGATCAGCACTGAACTGTGAACCACAAGATCAGGAGTTCAAACCACCCTCTGCTCCATGGAAACCTTATACAGGGTCAGAGTCCTGGTGTGGTGCTGTGGGTTAATGCACTGGACTGTAAAGTTGGTTAGAACTTTAGGTTGGTGGCTCAAGCTCATCAACTACTCCTCAGAAACCCTATACAGGGTCACTATGGGTCATAATCTACTTGAGAACACTTAACAACAACAAAAGCAAGTAAGTTATCAATAAATATAATGCTTACTGCTGGTAAATAGCTAGTTAATGATGAAAAGTTCTTAATGTGTCTTGCTTGTGTAAATAGCATTTCTTTTAATTTCCAGATTTTGACTAATTATCAATACGTTTTGTACTTTAAGAGAAGATATTTTTATTAACTTAACATGAGTCAGAACCAACTTAACGGTACCTAAGAACAGCAAGTCTTGTAATAAGAATTAATCATATGGAGTAAATGTAATTTACTCAAAATAGAGATAAAACACTACAAAAATGTAAATTATATAGCATTGCTAATAACACATGAATTCTATATACTGCAGATTTTGTTAACTAATCGTGGGTTTCACAGACAGGATATTATTAACTTATGAACTTTGCCTGCTAATCTTAAACACCAGCAAAATAAATTTTCAGTCCCTAAACAGAAGAAACTTAGTTGGCATTCTCTAAAATGTAAATATGCATAAGCAAGAACAAGATAAAAGTGAATTCAAAAAGCAAATTGTGGTGTCATTAGAATGTGTACTAGTTAACTCAGCATATCAACTCTGTAAGGTCTCCTAACATACAGGACTAAGAGAAATACTTTAAAATAATTCTCTAAAAAGTAACTTATATATTTAATTTTTATGTAAGAGAAGTATTATAACAAAAGCTTCATAACATAGTTATTTTTGCATTCTTTAAAATTTAAAGTGTGTATACTTCAGCAGCAAATAATTCAATAGGATTTTAAAAAATGAAAAAAAAAAAAAAAATCCCCTTCCTCACTTCCTTTTTCTCTAAAGAACCCCTTGGTGCTTCTCAATTCTTTATATTTATTTTATTTTGTATTTTCACTTACATTTTTTTTTGTCACTCATTTAATTTTAATTGCTTTTGTTGGTTAAAAAATGATAGAGGACACAAATTTACCATTTTTTACTTACACTTAATATAACCAAGTGTTTTCTAGTAAATTAAAACATGTAGTAGAATATAGTAAGACTATTTTAGTGTCAATTCTCATCTGTATAAGAAAAAAATTTCTGTTGTGTAGCAAAAATAATTCAGATTAGCTAAATCAGATATTTGTTATTAGAAAACTTTTTTTAAAATGTAATTTTGGGCAGGCTCCTAGTTTTAATTTTTTTTCTCCTAGCATTAGTTACATTAAAACTATTCTTTAATCTCTAGCAGAATTAGGATTTAAGCTTTAGATCTCAGTCACTTAAACCAATTTGCGGGAGACACAATTCAGGGAAGAAAATGTCCAGACTAGATTGGACTGGATCTACAGTGTTATTGTAACTTATTAAATTACTTCAAAGTATACATGCTGGACTTTTGTTTACACAAGGTATTAGAGAAAACTTTAGATAGATTGAGAAAAGCAAAAAATGTGTTTACTTTCATAGCAGGTTGGTGAAATACACTTTCAGAAAACAGACAATCCTCCAGATTTATAATAATATATATCCTATCCTCTTTATTCGAATGACTCATTTTAATTTTCTCTAAAACATTTTTAAGTATGTGAACATTTAAATTTTATTTAAATACTTAACTATTCAGTCTTTTCCTATTATGTGCCAACTAGTCAGTACAGACACAAAAACACTTGTATAGCATTTTCAGGGAGCAGATGGTAACTTTGAACCTTGAATCTTGTGATTAACCACCCATACTCATAGTACCACACCAGGATACCACTGTCTAGTCTTCATCTCTTTTAATAAAATACTACTTTCAAGAAATTAGGGACTCTTTGGCTTATTACTCAAAAATATTCCTATTCTATAGATGCTTTAAATATATGTTTGTTAAATCAATGAATCAATTAATAATTATATGTTATTTATATTGCTAAGAATAAAGATTACTATCTCATTTTACAGATGAAGTAAACATATTTAAGGAGAAGTTTCTTGTAAATGGTGCTAACTAACAAGTGATGGTGATAGTTCCCAAATATCTCATTTCTTCATTCGTCAGCCAAACTTCTGGTGACTCGTATATAGGAAAATTTGTCTTTCCTAAACATGTTATCGATTTATGATATGTTGCTGTTGTCCTTAAGTACTTTGAAGTCAGTTCCAACTCATAGTGACCCTGCACAGAGTTTCTGAAGCTGTAAATCTTTACAGGAGCAGAAAGCCTCATCTTTCTCCCATGGAACAGCTGGTAGTTTCTAACTGCTGACCCTGAGGTTAGCAGCCCGATACGTAACCACTACGCTACCAGAGCTCCTTGATTTATGATGTATGTGCCTATTATATTATAATTAGACTATTGGTATTGCATGATAGGATGAATACTGGAATTTGAGACACAAGGTTGTCAGTTCAAGACCACCAGCTGCTCCTCGAAAACCCTAGACAGGTTTCCTATGAGTTGGAATTGACAGTGCTGCAATTAACAATATATGATCATTATTTTAATGCAGATTGAAATTCATCTTGATCAAAACAAGAAGGCATACTTTGAAATCTGAAAGTGCTACTGAATTTAGCAGAGGTTATCAGTAGTCATTTGTCTGTTGGATGCATCAAGTCTGTGAAGATCACTGAAATGGAGGCAGCTTGTTGAGTGAGAGAAACAGCAACTGTTAAAATTGGGCAAGTCTTTTGTGCTATACCAAAATTGGTTAAAGAACTACCTCTCAGGATCTTTGAGAAATTTAGAAATGATATGACAGTAGTCTGGGTAGTTTGATATGGTTACACATAGGTTGTCATATGTTGGAGCAGATTGGAACTCACAAAAATCATATTATATGTGTCTGACAGTTACAGATGTACTAAATATAATGGTTCAAAACTATAATAATATTAGTATTTCCACAGAACAAGCAACAATTAAAGGAGCATTCATAATGTTCTGAATACGTTCCTAAATTTTTGCACACTGCGTCAAATCTAATTCTGACCACATGCTAAGAGAGATTGTTTTCAGCTTTTTAATCAATTCAAGACTGAACATAGAGTTAAAATGCCAACTTTGCAGAGTGATTGAACTATTATTCTAACAGAGATAACAGTAAATCAGATACCTTAACCTTTGCTTTCCATCTATTTGACCAACTTCAAATAATTTTCCAGAATATAAATCTGATTACAAATTGTTTAACATATAGGGATTCTGATTCTATATTGATAACAGTGTGAACACTTTCCCACTCTGAATCAAAAGGTAAATTGGTGAAAAAAAAAGAAAAAAGGAGTAAGCTAGATTAATACTGTAAGTTATCTTGCCACCATTTGTTTATTTATTTATTTATTTTTAACAGTAAGTGGAAAGAAAATAAATTTGAAAACTTGGAAAACTGAAGATGATAATAAAGCAATATTAGGAGAAGCTTAGAGCCTCCAAGAGGAACTTGGAACAGGATCATTATACTGAGATGAACATTTATCTCCATGCAAGGTAGACGATGAGTAGAGAAATAATTTAAACAATTAGAATTTAATAGGAAATAAGAATCAGATGCATTGTGTGGTAACTACATGAGGTAAGGAGGTTTTGAACAGCTTTAGATATTTCAGAAGGTTCGGTTCCAAATTATTTCAATATTGTATGTCATAGTGGTAGGAAAGGTAATGTGGACATTATTATGTGTACAATACTGCTCATAGAATGGGGATGATTATTCTCAGTATTGTCTATTGCTTCAAAATAAGGATGCAAGACTGGAAAAGACCATCTAAAAGACTTTATTTCAGTTAGTCACCAACTTCATATTATATCAAAATGTTACTTTAAAGACTAAAAATTTCAACATAATTTAAATACATACTAAAAAAATAGTTTATATTGAGTTGACTCTGAATCTTACTGAGCCCATACATGTCAAGCCCACAGAAGATAACTATGCTCTGTAGGAGTACTGGGGTGGTACCCTAGAAAAACAATGGACTGCTAACCATAAGACCAACAATTCAAACTCACCAACTGCTACTTTGAACTCCTGTACAGAGTCACTGTGAGTCAAAACTAAGTAGATGGTACTTAATAACACAATATAAATTTGTTGAAAGTATATCATGTGGCCTTGTCTCTCAGAGACATACACCCTTTTGGTTAGCATCAATCATGCTAAATGTATGAAAAACTCAAGGACTCCATTTATATTAATATCTATATATTTAATGGTGAAAATACAAATGTTCATCTAGAAATATTTAGAAATAAAAATTAAGCATTTTATATGTTTTTTATGACAAACTAATGATATTCATTTCATTATTCCAATAGGAATAAGAATATTATGGAGACTCATGAGGCACTGCATAATTTACCATCTAAATTATTAGGGACATCAACTGCAATCAAAATTAAGAAAGTGGTAATAGAAATTCAACTGCAAACCATCTTCTCATAATTTAATACTTCATGTATTCAGGGATCCCATATGAGGTAATAATGAAGCAA